TAGATAGATAGATAGATAGATAGATAGATAGATAGATAGATAGATAGATAGATAGATAGATGGATGAGAGAGAGAGAGAGAAGAGATACAGATAATAGATAGAATGGAAGAAGGAGTGAGGAAAGGAAGGAAAAGCAAGGGAGGGAGGGAGGAAAGAAGGAAGGAAGGAAGGAAAAACAAGGGAAGGAAGGAAGGAAGGAAGGAAGGAAGGAAGGAAGGAAGGGGAGCTAACCGAGGGCCAGCCCTCTCGTACGACAAGTGAGCCAGCTAAAACCCTGCTTGTGTCTCCCTGGCAGTCATCCATTTTTTGGAGGTCTACAATCGCAGCGTCTGTCAGCCCAAGGAGATGATGGTGTCTGTCACGGCAGAACATCCGTCTCTGGACAACCATATCATGAGCCCCTCCTGCGTGGCCCTCAGGCGTTGTACCGGCTGCTGTTCGGACGATTCTTTGGACTGCGTGCCCAGCCGTTCCCGGGACGTCATCTTGGAAGTAAGTTGGGTGAGGGGAAGGGGAGGGAACAGGACATCCAGAAGAAAGTCAGCTCTGGATTTGAATTCCTGCTCATTTGGGCTTATAGTGAGAAAATTGCAACACCCCCCCCCACCCCGTTTATTTCCCCAACTTTGGAAAACTTTGGTTCCTGATTTCTTGCTGATTTTTCCCAAATTGGATTTAGATTTGGATTTATTACATTTGTATTTTCTTTCTTTGAAAAATTCTTTCACTCTTGGTGGGAGGAGGAGAATTCTGATTTTTGCATACAGGGAGTCCTCGGCGCACGACCGCAGTCGAGTTCAAAGTTTCCGGTGGCTAAGTGAGACGGTTGTAAAGTGAGTCTTTGAATCCGTTTCCAAGTGTCTGCATTGGGACTGCTTCAAAGGTCATCCTTGTGGGGAAAAAAACATCATCGGGAAGTCAGTTTTTCCCCCCGAATGGCCACTAAAAAAAACATTGTAAGTCAAAGGACCTTGGAGGTCATCTAGTCCAACCCTCAACCCAAGCAGGAGACCCTACACCATTTCTGACAGAGGACAGTCCAGTCTCTTCNACAAATGAAATAAACAGTTAAACAGTTAAACATATATAACCAAAATTTTAGTCTCACCTCCATCATTAGTATCTCTTCATTTTGCCTTAATCCATTTTCTGGAGCAGGAATATCTACGTAGATGACCTGTTTCCTAGGGTGACCTCCCTTAATCAGAACTTGTGGTTCAAGATTTGCAGTTCCAAGACCATCCAGAGCATAAAAAGCTACTGAATATTTCAATTTCCCACCATATGCCATGAGCTGTTTGGATAAATAATTATATTGTTAATTTGAGACATTTTTGAAGTATTTTAGCTAAAATCTAGATTGATAGCAGACCATCTTTTTCCTCTTGGTCTGCTCCAAAATCTGATCTCCAGAATCATCTCTTTTTTCCTAATACTTTTCATGTATTGACTTCATTCACAAATCAAGCAAGAATTTCTTATTCTCCAATATAGTCAATATAACTGGGTTTTGTTTTTTGCTTTCCATTTCATCTGAATCAAGAACTATAATCAACTTAACCTACATTCAGTTTTTAAAAAACCAGTTCAGGAATCTAAGATTTCAAACAAATATGTTTAAAATAATCTAAAGTTAACAATTGCATGTCCTTCTAGAAAAGTAAAAGTAAAACTTTAAAAGCTTCTCCACCTGAGAATATGGGGGGAAATGAGGTGAAGAATTATGTTGCAATATACTGTTATTTGGTACACACAGGTAAAAACTTATTTTAACATCTGTTACAATAAGATATGTAATTTAACAGAACCCAATAATAGTTTATATCCTTGCTTCTCAACTTCATTTCATTTTTTTCTCTACCTCTTAGTTTTAGTCACCTTTTAATCACTTCCTTTCATTATTTGCTTGCTTGCAATAGCAACTTTTCTATTACCGTATTCTTAGCAAACAGAAGACCTTAAACGTTTTCCATCACACCTCCCTTTAGTGTAACCTTAATATACACACCTTCTCTAAAAATCCAAATACAAGAATAAACACAATAAAGAATACAATGAAACTTAGGAAATGTAGATTATTGTAAAAATGTACAACTAAAAGATTCCCCAGGGGAAGTACAGTTCACATTATGGTAAACCTTGTCCCCAAAACACACCATATTCATCTTCCTTGCAAAAAAATAAAAAAGTAAATACAAAGGCTCCCCACACACATATGTGCTAGTCGTTCCCGACTCTAGGGGGCAGCACTCATCTACATTTCAAAGCCGAAGAGCCAATGCTGTCTGAAGATGTCTCCATGGTCATGTGTCTAGCATGACTAAATGCTGAAGGCACATGGAATGCTGTTACCTTCCCACCAAAAGTGGTCCCTCTTTTTCTACTTGCAT